AAGGGGNGGGGGGGGGGACTCCGAATAAATGCGGAATTCTGCGCGAGCGGATAAGAATACCAACAAGGTTCTTCGTCGTGCTTGAAATAGACGTCACGACGTAAATTCTTACCCTCCACGAGAATGTCCGGCCTATACGAGTGGCATTTTTCCGACGTCGGCCGACGGACGGAAGAAGGGGCCACATGTTCCACATCGTCTCATTGACAACAATTCCTGTGAAGGAACTTTCCTTTCGGATGTCCTCAAAGAGTGGACTTTCTCCTCCGAGTTTTACGGATTATACACATCCCGGGACCAGATTACGCGGTTGTTCCCGAGGAATTTTCATATCGATCCCGCGCGAGCGCGGAACGAACTTTCTTCCGGCAAATTCTCCGGGAACTTTCCGTGAAAAGCGGCGCGGAGCCCACCACTACACATCTCGCCACTTTCCTTTATCTCTCGTTTTAAAGCGCCCGCGGCTATGAACGGACGATTTCGTTCTACCCACACGGTAATCGCGGTGTGCCGCGAAACGTTGAAACCGATTGAAAATTAAGGAGATCACCGAAAGAGCGTTCGCGCGGAATACGAGGGTGAAATTCTCAATCCGTTCTAATAATGTCGGGGGCGAGGATTGCGAGCGGTGTCGTCGTAATGAAGAAAAATGCGCCAATGCGACGTATCTTAAAATTCTAGGCGCGTTTCGGACGACAGGAACGACGGCTGACCCGTGATGCAACGCCGAACGGTGGACCGAAGAGCGCCAGGCGATACTCCCCGCGTGAACGCTCAAACGAAGATTCAGTCCCGGCCACCGTCAACGTCTAATTGAGTGCGCGTAGCTGGGCGATAGGTGCGCCCTTAACACCGCACGTGATCCGGCGAGGAGAGGTCGGGGCGATAACGCGGATTTTCTGCTGCTGGGAGGATTTTATTAGCGACGTGATGCGAAAGCTTTTCCCGCCCACGTAATCGACCGTAAAGCATACGAAATCGTAAAAGGTCGGTGTAGAACGTAACTTTTCCATTTGTGTGAAACGTGATAAGAAAGCTTAGCCGACCTAATTAGCGCGACGCGCGGCACATACCGCGACGTCGCGGTAAAGGGCGCTGAGTAATGAGCGAGCGAGGCGGATATGACTGTTTGACGGAAATAATTGCAAAATTTCGGCTCCCCTAAAAGTTCCTGCCGTATGACAGACCGAGCGGAACTTTTTTTTCCTTTTTTTTTTTAGGCAAAACACGAAACAATGAAACAAGCTCGCGAATTCCAGAGGCAACACTCATCTACCCGATGCCTCGGCGAGAAGTTAATGTGCAAAAACCGCCTCATCGTAAAGCGAATTTTACTTTTTCTAAGCACTAACCGAGAGATTGGCGTGATCGCATCATCGATTCCTGATCTCGTGTCTCTGACTGTACAAAAAGAGGCAAGTCGATACGAAAATTCGCCGCTGCAACGACTACGCCTCCAGAAGAGGCTAGAGGGTTATATCGAGGCTTCGAATATCGATGTAAAAAAAAAAATGCGCACTCATCTACGGCGAATAAGCCGCGAGAACAATGGACCTCATTCGGCGGCAGCCGATCGGCGGTTTGGGACGCGATCGGATTCTGCGGAGAGCGCCCGTGCATGAAACGTAAGTGTAAGCGAGTTCGAGTCGAGGGCCGTCGGTCGTGCCACAACGATGACCCGCGGTTTAATCGGCGTTAAGGCACATAGTAATCGGCGCCGATACCACATCGACGGACGTCCACCGACACCGCAGCGGAAGTGAATGAAATCCCGTCGCGTGGAAGTACGTCATTATCCATAGGTGGATCGATAAGGGGAGCCCGAATTAATGAAATTTCCATAATCAAGAGCCCGTCCTCCTCCGCGCGCGATTCACGAAGAGCGCGCCGTTCGTTTCCAAAATCGATTTGTAACCACGCGCGTCCCGGTGACGATTTTCCAATTAAGATCAATCGGACGAGAGGGTGGGGGAGGGGGCGAAAAAAAGCCCGCGATACGTCGACGCGTGATTCGACGCAACGCGACACGCCGAGATTAAAAACTCGTGTTTTCGGCGCCGGCGGCCGACGCGCTCTCGCGAAAGATCGACCCGCCCGAGCGAGGGAATCGGCGAGTGTGAAACGAAATTTTACGCGCAGTAACGGCAGCGCGCGCGACAGTACGACCGATGTTCCCCGGCTCCGATGATTCGGAAACTCACTTACCCGTGACGGACGGCAAGTCGATGCAGTTCGAGAGAACTCGAAAATTGACGATGTCGCGATTGTAACGTGCCCCTCTACCACGCGAGAACAAGTGCAGCAGACGCAAGGTCCCGGCGCGTTTACGTCAACTGCAGCACGGTCGTGAAAGCTCGCCCGACTTGGTCGGCTGGTATGCGCGGTTGACGGGAATATGTAAGTTATTTGCCCCCGCAAAGACGATAACCACGCTAGTTTCTAACTCGCAACGAATTTCTGCCCTTTAAATAAAGCAACAAGTAAATTTTGCGGGTGAGGTAGTTTTCGCGTATTAATTTTGCGCTTCTCGCCGAGGCATCGGGTATATGAGTGCCGCCTCTGGAATTCGCGAGCTTGTTTCGTTGTTTCGCGTTTTATCTAAAAAAAAGAGGAAAAAAAATCTGCTCAGTCTGTCACAAGGCTGCAACCTGTAAGAGAGCCGAGATTTTGCAATTATTTCCGTCAAACAATCACATCCGCGTCGCTTTTGAAAAAGATAAATTAACGCGGACGTGCACCCGATAAATAATCGATGTATCCCTTTGCGATGATGTCATAATTGTGTTATAGAGATTATTATTATCAGAAACTCCCGTGGTGCATCTCGCAGAGGAAAAGAGAATAGCGAATAACGGGGCCTTAAATGAGGGAATGAAGATTGCGTGCTCGAGGCGAAAGTTCAGCGCGCAATTTTAAGGCGAGATAAGAAAGACAGACCGTGAGACGCAAAATTGCAATGGGGACGGCGTGCGGAGGCGGTGGTTGAATACGGTGTGGTGGAATGCGAGGGTGAAAACGGCGATGATCCTACGCTCGTCTGTAAGCTCAACGTAAGTCAACGGTGAGAGACCGCGATATTTATGATGCAGAATCTCGACGACTTGACGACGTACAACTCCACGTCTCAATTCTGGAACGTGACAACGACGCTGTGGTACGACAATGACACCTATTACTACGACAGCAACTACACGGCTCTGATGCCGCGGAATAAATTCGTGCTTCCGTGGTGGCGGCAGATGATCTGGACGCTCCTGTTCGCCGGCATGATCATCGTGGCGACCGGCGGCAATCTGATAGTTATATGGATTGTGCTGGCGCACAGGCGAATGCGCACCGTCACCAACTACTTCCTGGTGAACCTCAGCATCGCGGACGCCATGGTGTCGACCCTGAACGTCATCTTCAACTACACCTACATGCTCAACAGTCACTGGCCGTTCGGCACGTTCTACTGCAAGATCTCCGAGTTCATCGCGGTACTCACGATATGCGCCAGCGTCTTCACTTTAATGGCGATATCCATCGACCGGTAAGAATCTCTTTTCGTTCTTCTTCTTCTCTCTTTTTTTTGTTTGGAATAATACGCTCTTGAGAGTGAATAGCGAAAGGTAATACGGTGTCCTAAGTCGCGACAGTCAATATTAGGACAATGTCGTTTAGGTTCTCCCCCTTGCTATTGTGTGAGACGTGATGTTATCACGAACGAGAGATATATCCGTCGATGCGCTAATCGTCCTACCTAAGCGCGAGTCATCGCCATGATCCTCAGATACATCAAACAATCAATAATCCCGAAGATAGGGGGGAGAGGCTCGCCTAATTCCCGCGCGCGCGAGCTCTACCCTTCTTCCCCACGCTTGAGCACGTTCTCGCTTTTAGCGCGTGAACGCCCGTACTAAAACCCCACTTAGATCGATGTCCGGTCCTGGGAAAATACATTTCCTTCTGTTTATCTGGAGCAGTCCCGGCGTGCGTTGAGATAGATACAGCGTGGGTGCGTCCTTATGTGACGTCGCGTTAAGGAGGGTTAACGGCGAAGCGGAAGCGGGTCTCAGGCTAACGACGGAGATCAATCTGACGTCGAAAGTCAGCCAAGAAAAAGGAGGAAAACAAACATTCGCGCGTCTCTGGCGTCACCTGTCCCGCGATTAGACGAGGTGGAGCTCCGTCACCGAGATCCAATTACGTAGTTCAACAAATCTCAACTTCTTTATTTGCGACTTGGTCGAATTATCGTCGTCATCAGATAGTTTTCGAACGTGTAAACACGCGCGCATTGGAAAAGTTTGACATTTTGCTTCCCGTTTTCTAAATCTGCCGCTAACACTTTACAAGTTATCGTCATATCGACGTGAAAAGTGTTCGATTTTTCATAACACTTATTATTATACGATCTACTACATTATCAGCTGCTCCAATAATGAACTGTTCGATGCAAGCACGAAGAAAATAGAACAGGGACGTTTTTTTTGCGGGAATATCGGAGAAGTCCAATTCAATCTGTGAGCTCGAAAATGCCGGGTTAATTTTCCAAAGCGACTTTTCCCTTGAATTAACGCCATTCAGAATTATACCCTCAACGGAATGCGTAATTTACCATTCTTTTTATTATCACCGCGGGGGCCCAATTATTCTTTTCTCTCAATTCGACTAGACCACGATTTTTTAATCAGATTGTAGGAAAAAATTAATTCCCTTGATTAAAGGGAAAAAAATATTCATTCAAAATAATTATTGACATAAAATTACAGAAATTGATACAAAGAAATCGCGAACTTTAATTGTAAGAATACCGTCAGAACCAAATGCGAATGCGTTTGTAACTATTTGCGAGCTACCACTTAAATTCTCATAAATCTCGAAATTAAAGTCACTTTTAGTCACTATTCAAACCAAACAACCCATCCCAAAGCTGATTGCTCTAAGTTCGTGTCCTGCTTAGCGAAGCGAATGATTGCTTCAAGGAGCTAAAATACGAAAGGCTAAATACAGAAAACCGCTAGTCAGACCGCACGTTGCTTTCTTCGAGCTGAAGAACCGTATGCTCGTTTCTTCTCAATTGTGCTCCAGAAGAAAAGCCATTTATTCGAGGGCAACATTCAGAGAGTCACGAGGAGCGTATAATGATTAAAGGTTCACCCTCCAAGAGATCCCCTGTATACCCAATGCCTTTTTATACGTCCTCACGAGTTACCCTAAAACGACAATATATTTCTTAAAGATTTAGACATTTTGGGAGCGGAATTGCCGATAAAAAAAAACGCGAAGAGAGCGATAAAAATTTCGATCGCCCGACGCCGCCGGCAGATGCTACGTGATATCGCGGAAGATGCTCAAGTCGTAAATCGTGAAATTCGCTTTTATGCCGGGAATAGAACGTAGGAAGGGAGAATTTACCCCCCCCCCCTGTGCAGGTGGCAATCGACGATAATCGCGGACGTTCGCGCGCCGATGGATTTATCGCAGGGGAACTAATTTTCGGCGGATTACATACAGCGGGTAATGCAAATATTACGCATATTATCGCCTGGGCGGCAACGAGAAGTCCGACATTCCGCGGACGACATCGATACGGGGTCGTTTCCAAGTGACATTTCGTCCGCGGCAAACGCCAATGGAGCATTGCACTCGATCGGCTACGGCGACATTCCTCGATAAATGATAATGTGCGTTATCACGCGAATGCGGGAACCTGAGACCTCGACAATACACTACGGTATGAAGGAAATAGATAGAGAGGGGGGTGAGAGTAAGAGAGAGAGAGAGGGGGGGGAGGGAGGAAGAGAGAGAGAGAGAGCCATCAGAATGTAAGCATTGCGCCTGTGTTGTGATAGAAATAACGGGCATTGTAGCCCGTTCGGGATATCGTACCCGATCGATTTTCACTGCGGGGGCTTTTATCTAGATCATTAAATGTATTACAGCGGAGCTTTATACGTTACTGCAATGAGCTTCTGTAAATGCGATTGAAATTGAATGGACCGCGGAACCGGGAAACTTAATCGACGCGCGGACAACGAATGCAGAGAGTGTCCCGACGAAAATTTATTCCGACGAATTCATATCGCGTACGGAGGGCAATCATGTGCACCGAAGTGAGATCCCGTTTATGCGCGGTTTAAGCGCGGATTCTACGTTCCAAATCCGTTCCAAATGAATTTTCACACGATTTTTACCGGCCGCACCCCCCCCCCCTTCCCTGTAAATCCCGATCACGTCGAGAGCAAACTCTATCGTAGATATAAAAAGAACTCGGAGAGATTGGACCGCGCCAGTTAATTTCCCCCGCACTCGATAGCCCACGTAAAGGATATTGCTGTTATCACTGTCTACCGCCGTAGAGGCACGTTGGCCTGTCAATACGAAAAGTATTTGCTAAAAAGAAGTATGCTGCAAGGGGAAAGGTCGATTTTGAGAAGCCGAGTAAATGGCGATCACGAGGAGGAGAGGCTCGACAGAATTTCTTTTCATTCGCGCGAGAAAAGAGATATATAATTGCCGTGACGCGCAAAGTAAAGAATCGCTTGTGTCGTGGCTTGAAATATACTCGCGCGCCGGATATTTCCACGGCGGGGAAAACGCTTTCTCCCGTGAGAACGACTAGCTGCAAGGGACGCCGTTAAAAATACCGCCGCGAGAACGAGGAAAAAAAATGAAAATAATTCTCCGAAAGGAGTCGCAAATTATTTCACGAGACACTTGACCTTGATGCAATCGCGACGAGCGTGTAACGAACTAATTAGGTTTCTGCGGTTAATGTCGTATTTCCATATGGAAACCGGGAAACGATTCTCGGTGCTGCTTCGCTGAGCGGCAGGTCGCATTAAGGGTTGAAATATTAACCGCGAATAATTGCCTTTTTGCTTAATTCAGAATTTAGGATTCTATAGCTGCATTGCAACAGAGCTCATTAAAATACGATTGTACGCCGAGTATAGAATCGCGCATCATGCAACAATGTGTTACGTGTTTTTATGAATCTCTCTGCGAAACATTATTTTCAAATTTTGTAATAATAGAGTGTATTTGATATATCTTGTTGATACACACAATAGAAAAATGACCACAAAATTGATTTTCCAGACTATTTTCGCTTTAAACGCCATCGGGAGTGAATTTTCTATCGTGATGTAATACGTAAGTTTGTCAGCAAAAATGTCGCAAAAATTCCTCGGTCGGTTGTTATCCTCGAGAAAATACTTAAGATTCTTCGTGGTCCTCCTTTATTGAAGAAAAGCTCTCTCCCTTTCGTAATTCTCTCTCGCTCGTATATCATTCGTTATTGCGGTTACAGTTCTCTCGCGCGTATCGGTAAACGTCTTATCCCGTTAAAACGATCTGGCGTTCAATTTTCTATGGACAAAAATACAACCACGCTTCCTGCATACACTATATTGAGCAAGGAGGTACGCGCATACGTTGCATAACAAGAGCCATATTGAAATGTTTGTCATCGAACGTTCAGTATCAGTAGTTTCGTTATATCATCGTAGCAAAATTTCTTCTGCCTATTTTTACGGAGAATATTAACGACTAAATTACGGCTCGATGAAAAAAAATTCGTCTGTTAAATATTGTAACGATAACGTTATAAAGATAAAGATTAACCTGCGACCCAATTACCAGACAGCGAGGTTCAAGACGTCAAATGTTACGGCAAATACCTACATATACTAACGCGTGGTAAATACAACCGGTGTGCACATGACATAATTGCATTCTTAAAGAGAATATGACATCAAAGGGAGGACAGGAAGGCGGCGGGAGAGGGCGAGAAATGTATTACTCCGAAGACTTCTGGAAATAGAATTTGAGTTATTCGACAGTACTTGACGTGTACAGGAAACGACAGCGAAACCGGTAGAACATATAGTTTGAAGAATGCGCATTTCCAGATGTTGACGTCATTATAACGTCTCTGCGTATGTTTGGCATCCATTATTCGCATGGGAAATGCACGCAACACGATGACGGCGACGTTGACGACGACGTTGCCGGGGGCGCAGTTAGCTCCTTACGCGGTATGTCACGTACATGCTTCCGATACCAATTCAAATGAGAGCCGCCATTGAAACAATGCGCAATGGACGACACTACCACCGTCGTGGGTCGTACTTGCGAATGAAATCCCGTAGAGGGTTGCGTTGCCACGCGATAAAATAAGAAACCCCGAGGTAAAAATATTCCACTTCGACTCGACAATAACGTTTGTCTGCAACGTTAGGCGGCAACAAAAATAAGCGGCCTTACTCCCGCCGCCCTCTCCAAGTGGAATCTTCATATTAGAAATTCAATGAGAGCTCAGTGACGCGTAAACGGCAGGTTGGCGGATCGGTCAGAACGTTTACGTTTTCCGAGAAATGACGGGAGAGCATCGTTCGGGAAGCGAAAGCAAATAAATTCTGAAATATCGCTCTGGGGTATCGCTGAGGGATGCACTGAGGGTCGATAAAAATGACTCAATTAAAGGGTCGAAATATAGCGTGGCTAATACCGCCGTCGATGCATCGATAAAAGCGGTGCTTATTG